ACCCTAAAGGTCCTTGCCACATATATATATGTATATGTTCATGTGTATGTGTGTGTGTGCGTACATGAGGCTACATGTATATATACATGTATATGCGTATGTGGATGTGTAAGTGTATGCGTATGTGTGTGTATGATTGCATGTGTGCATGTATGCATGCAACTGCATGTAATTGTATGTAACTGTATGTAACTGTATGTAGCTGTATTTGTCTGCTGCAACTGTATGTAACTGTACGTAACTGTATGTGAGCGTACATAATTGTGTTTAACTGTCTGTATGTGTATGGAAATGTCCGTCCGTCCGTCGGTCGGTCTGTCTTTCTGTCTGCCTGTCTGTCTGTGTGCATGTACGTATGTATGTACGTACGTATGTATGTATGTATGCATGCATGCATTTACATCAACCGCTTTGCGTTGTGACAGGCCTGGCCTCAGCTCCCCTCTCAGTTTCAGGCACAGATGGAGTTCGACCTTTAGGCGCGCCATTTCAACTACCTACCTGGCACAGGTTCTGGGCGCCACAGCTGTGACAACAGCCACAGAGGCTGAGGCCTTCGAATTTGTCTGAGTGTGTGTCTTCTCCAGTTTCTCGGAAGAATGGTAGGCCGAGAGCCAGCGCCGAGCCGCACAGATTGCAGCGCTGAGCTGCCAGGCTCGAAACGGGTCCTTGGTAAGATGGTTGTGCTCCCGCTTTCGAGCTTTACAGTTCAGAGGTGGAGGCCGCGCGCAGTGAGCTTGCGCAGCTCCGGCGGCCATCCACGGCAGCTTCCCTTGCTCTCGCTCAGCAGGAAGCCTTCTGCATCATTCCGCATCCCTTCACGCTCTGCTTTGATTCTGGTCTGTGAGGCGAGGCACCTCATCACGGCGTTCCAGCCCGAACTTGGTGCCGTGAAGGCTTCCTTGCAACCTTGAATGACCCCCCTTGCTGTTCGGATCCTTTGTTGCAGGCAAAGCTTGCGCACACCACCCATGTAGCCAATGAGCTGCATTCTTGGTTCATGACGCCCAGCACCTGGAAAGCTGGAAATCACGGCCTGGTTCTTGGGTTTCCCATGCATTTCGGAGCTCAGGCATCGCGACAAGATGTCCATCGAGGATCGGACTTGTTGACTCTAAGAAGAGTTCTGAAGAGCCCTGAATAGGATCCGAGCCGCTCACCATCAGCGCAGCTGCACCAGAGATTGCAGCATTCGGCTTGGGTGCTCTGAGTTTTTTGACTTTACACCGGTCCAAAGCCGTGAAAGGTCCTGTGAGATTCTGATTGACGGGTTTCGCAGCGTTGCAGAGCGAGTCGAGGGTGCGGAGATAGGGAGCTCGGTGCTTCTTGCGAGCAGTTCTGCTGCCAGGTGTGCTTGAAGCGGCCTTGAAGGATTGGGGGCACCTTCCCAGTCCTACTGCTGACTGATGCTTTCGTGAACGCATGTTGCCAGGACGCGCAGCCCGCGGTGACTGCCTCTGCAACCTGGCTCCTTGCATCGAACGCTTGACACGACTTGGCTCAGGTATGTGGGAGTCGTCCTGGCCCAACACCGCAGGGTGCCAGGCCGGATGCTGGTAGCAGGTAACCTGCTGACAGTTTGATAGTTAGAGAAAAAGGACACGCATATCTCTCTGAGAGAGATGTATCTACATCTATGTGTGTGTATATATATATACGTATATGTATATGTATATTTCTATCTGTGTGTGTGCGTGTGTGCGTGTGTGTATGTATGTCTGTTTGTCTGTCTGTATGTGTGTAAGAATGTATGTATGTATGTATGTATGTATGTATGTATGTATGTATGTATGATCTGTACTCCAGCAGGATATTCGCTGTAAGGCGAAGCCGAGTGGTGTTCATGATACGACTCAATTGCCGTCTTTCTCTCATGCTCGCAGACATGATCACGGTCATCGTTCGGTTGTGCGGCGAAGGAGCTCCTAGCAGTTGTGTTTTTGGACCACACTTGGTTCCTGGCCACAGTTAGTAAGGGCGAGAACGCTGTGCGTCGCTGGTTGTAGTCAGCAAGCGCGAGAAAGCTGCATCAAACTTGACCTTCGTGTTGTGGTCTTGAAGACGACTCCTTGACGAGGCGCATATTCTGAACAATGCCTGTGCAGATGAGGTGTTGTCTACGGTCAGATGAGGTTTATCCTCTCGGCGCATGGCGAATACGGGAGACGCTGGTGTTACCACTCCCTGTGTTCTCTCTCAGCATCCTTTGCCATAGACATTATGCGAGCGTAGGCATAGCCTACAACTTTTGATTTTCGGGTAATGATCTCCACCTGCATGGCCGGGCCAATTGCGCCTGTACCTGTGTCGCTAGCCGTCATTGCTGGTGCGTTTGCAAAGTGCAAACAGTGTTTGTATGTGTGTAACATGTGTACATGTATGTCTGCACATGCATAGACAAATAAGCGGACAAGTTAATCTCCATATATATATATATATGTATAATATATATATATATATTCATACATACATACACACCCACACACATTTCCCGTTCTCCCATTCTCCCGTTGTCTCTCTCCCGTTCTCTCTCTCTCCCATTCCCTCTCTTTCTTAGGTCTCCCTCTCCTTCCTGGCTCTTTCTCTCTTTCTCAGTTCTCTCGCTCTCTCTCTTTTTGCTCTCTCTCTCTCTCT